GACGCGGGAGAGCAGGGTGACCTAAGCGGTGGTGCCAGAGAAGGGAGGGGTGAGTGAGGGACCGACACGAGCAAGCTGCAGCGACCTGGGAGGACGCACCAACCGGGGGGGAAGCGGTGTGTAGGGTAAACAGACCGGACACCGGGTCCCGGGGGAACGTCGCAAGGGGGGAACCTGAGACAGCCTCAGAACAGACAGCGAACCGCTCGTGCCCGGGGAACGTGGTGGTGACGCCGAGGTCCTGGAGACAGCCGACACCAACCAGGTTCCTGGAGAACGAGGGAACGTGGAGGCCAGTAAGGGAGCCCGAGGGAACTGCCGGACAGGGAAGGGACGTAGAACTGCGCGCGACGACCGGACCCGCAGAGGGGTCAGCGAGAGAGACAACAGCAGGTGCAGCAAGCGGCGTGAGCGTGGAACGGTCGCGGAAGAAGCAGGCAGAAGCACCAGAGTCGAGAGTGAAGGACAGCGACGCAGTGGCGGGGACCGGGGACGGAGCCGGTGCAGCGACTAGACTAGGCAACCTAGGCAGTCCTACGCCTGTCGCAGCAGGGGAAGCTAAGCTACACAAGGGTGAAACACCTAAACTAGATTACACAGGGTAGTAAGATCCATCAACACTAGAAGCGTCAGCATACAAAGCATGCAAAGCAGCACCTATCTGATCCATGTCTAACTCAAAGATCGGCACGCCCTGGCGGAGCAGGCTGTGCCAGTCAGGGAGGTCCGGGGCCGGGCCAAAGCGACGACGAAAAAGATCGTCGAGGCGGCGGAAACAGCGGGCGGTCGGGTGCGGGCGGCGGCACAGAGTGCCGCGGAGAGGCCCGGTCTGAAGCTGGTACTGGCAGGTCACAGCACTGGAGCCGCTGGTAGACGCCAAGCTGCGCGGGCCGCCACCACGGCCACCGCCTCCGGAGGTGCCGGGCCAACCAGGCGGGAGACGAGCCCACGGCTGCGGCGGGTGCTGCTGGGACGGCGGCTGCGGCTGGGGCTGGTCCTGCTGCTGCTGGGACTGCTGCTCCTGCCCACCGGTGGTAGTCCCCTCAGGCGGACTACCGTCACCACCACCACGACCACTACCACCTGCGTCACCACCCCTACCTCCCTGGCGGCCACGGCCACCGCGACGCGAGCGCTGCTGCGGGTGGACAGCAGCAGCCGTCTCGGTAAGAGGGGTCGCCGTGGCGACCGCAGCCGAAACGTCAGTGAACGTGCACGGGGATGGGGCACAGCCGTGAAAGATAGAGACTGGCGGCGCACCGCTCGACTGAGCGATAGTGCGCTGGCGAGTCTCGATCTCAGTGAGGGTGTCGACAAAGGCGGTCAGGGTGAGGTCACCCGGGTGTTGGCTAAGAAAGTGGTCGCGAGCACTAGCGAGGCGGTCTGGCAGGCGCATAGCGATAAAATAGAGCGTCATGCAGAAAGGAGGGGGGAGCGCAGTGAGCTGGGCAGCAGTGCTGGCAGTGCGATAGCGAGTCTCTAGGGCACGCAAATGAGTGGCAAAATCTGCGACAGTAGGGAAGGCAGCCAGGTCTGGGAACAGCATCGGAAAGAGCAAGCGGCCAGCAGAAGCGGAGGCAGGGGTGGAATAGCGAGCAATAACGGCGTCTAAATAAGCTTTGGCCGTTTCAACAGTAGCAAAACGCGAGCGCTCAGACACAGGGAGGGCGTGACTAATAGCAACCTGAGCTACTGCATCGCGTGAGTCCCAGATCGCACAGGCCAGCGCAGCAGTAGAGAAAGCCTCACGGTCATCAGAGGAGGGGTCAGCAGGGAGGGGAGTAGGTGCAGGGGGACGGGGGAGCAAGCCATCAGCATGGACAACCAGAGAGTGGCCATCCTGGCGCTGACCTGTAAGCTGGCGGCGAAGATCGGAGAGCCAGGCGGCGAAGTCAACCGCGTGGCCCTCAGCGTCCAGTCGGAGCACAAAGTCAGCCATCGTGCAGGGTCAGCGGCACAGCTCCTCAGCGACACAGCGGCACAGCAGCACAGCTCCTCAGCGGCACAGGAGCACAGCGGCGCAGGGACACGGCGGCAGCACTCTCCAGTAGGGCAGCAGCTAGGCGTCCCAGCGCAGGCAAGCAGAAGACACAGGGCCCGAGAGGACACGGCAGGCCGAGCAGGGGAGGCGGGCAGGTGCTCTGGGGCCGGGCTGGTGCTGGGAGGGGCCAGGCTGGTGCTGCTGGGGCCGGTCGGGCACGAGGAGGGGCCGGGCAGCGCTGAGGAGAGGCCGGGCGGCGCTAGGAAGGGGCCGGGCGGCACTAGGAGGAGGCCGGGCGGCACTAGGAGGAGGCCGAGCGGCACTAGGAGGAGGCCAGGCGGGCGAGCGCTAACAGCAGGCGCGACAGGGGCCAGCGGGCGCGACGGGGCCTAAGGGGCGCGACGGGGCCCAGCGGGCACGACGGGGCCCAGGGTGGGCGCGACGGGGCCTAGGAGGCGCGACGGGGCCCAGCGGGCACGACGGGGCCCAGGGGGGGCGCGACGGGGCCTAACGAGCGCGACGGGGCCCAGGGGGGGGCGCGACGGGGCCTAGGGGGCGCGACGGGGCCTAGGAGGCGCGACGGGCGGAAGCGGTAGGCGGGGGGATCCTAACCTAAGCGTGATACCATGTTAACGTAGAAATGAATGATTACTAGAGGTGGAAACCTAGAACAAATACTAGTTGGTTGTACTCACTAGAAGCATACCTCAGTCTAGCCTATAACTTCTACATAGATAATATGTATAAGTTGACACGCAGAACCCTTTGATTGCGATCGAAATTTGACAACAGAAGAAACATGATAACGAACTTATTTCAAGCAGCTCAATATTGCCATCTGGGAAACACCATCACCCACCCATTGCAGTCAGCTTTCACCATTCTCTCTGCTTCCTCTCACCTCCATTTTTCTTCCTGACACCCTCCCCCTCAACCCCCCTCATTTCCCTGGCTTTCCAGTCCCAGCGCAAATGCTGACCGTAGAGAGGCTTAGCGTACCGTCTCCCTCACTCGCTTGCCTTCGCCCGGCACTCATCTGATGCAGGTTGACCATGGAGAGGCTCTTTGATGCTATGCCCCCCCTCTCTCACTTGCCTCCGCCCTGCACCCATCTTCTGCATGGTGACCATGGAGAGGTGGCAGTTCCATACAAGCGAGCAGGCAGAGGAGAAGGCAGGGCGCAGGCGCAGCGGCACCATGTGGAACGAGGCGAAGCTGGCCGGCACCCAGAAACGCCACCCGCGCCTCCACGTGCGCACGAAATCTTGCCGGTACTTGTCTGAGTGAGGGAAAGATGGTGATTGGTGCAGGTGATATGGCCTAGGAGCAGAATGAGTTTGGGAGTTCATGGGACAACGGCGGTCATTGAGGGGGGGAAAGAGAACATGCAAGATAAGGAGCAAGAGAAGAAACAAAGGAAATGGAGAGGGACACTGTGGTACTAAGATCAGGGGACGGGAACACACCTTTGAGTGCGTGCAACTGGCCAGTGCACGCGTAATTAAACGCGAACACAGCAGCAATGAGGCACGGGTTGAGCAGTGCCTGTGAGGCCAACACCTTCACCACCGTCGCGCCCATGCCCCGCCCGGGCGCTGCCCTCTCCACCAGTGGGTACCACACGTGCAGCGCGGGCCCGTAGATGCACGCACCGTACGCCATCATGCGCGCGGATCTCGCCGCATTGAACGCTGATACCACTCCTGCTGCCGCGTTGCCAGCGGAGTCTCTAGATAAGGCGCTGCTGCTGCTGCTGCTGCTGCTGCTGCTGCTGCTGCTGCTGAGAGTCTCCGCATCATCGCCTCGCGCGCTGTGGATCTGCGCCGGTTTTCCAGCGGACGAGAGCTCGATGCACTGCGCGCACACGTCCCCGCCCGCCAGCAGCGCGCCTGACGTCGCGGACGTGCGGAGCATTGGCGGAAGACGCTGGGCGGACTGGAGGAGCACGGAGACAAGGGGGGGCGCTCGGAGCTGACGCGCGCGGTTGACGTGCGTGGGGATCTGGTCGACGAGGGGGAGAAGCACGCCGGTGGAAACCCTGTTAGCGTCCCCTCCGCCCTCTCCTCCGCCCCCTTCCCCTTCTCCGCTTGAACCACGCCCCCCTGGACCTCCTCCTCCGCCTGATCCCCCGGATCCGCTTCCCCTCCCGTCACCGTCGCCTCCCTTTCCCCCACCCTTTCCAGAATCCCCATTCCGCCCGCTTGGCCCTCCCCCACTCCCTGCTCCGCTTGCTCCGCCTCTGCTGGTCCCCCCTCCGCCTTCCCCCCCATGCGCTCGTCTGCTTTCTCCGCCGTTCTCGTTGCGCACCGCTCGGATCTTTCCGTTTCGCGCTCTGCGATTCGTACTGCTGCGTGACTTTTGAGGCGCCTCAAAAGCTGCTCTGTTATTTCTATCACTGCTGCGACGCGGTAACGGAATTTGCGCTGTCGCGAATGCAGGACGCGACGAGCCAGAAGGACGGGAGCGGCCGATTGCGGAGTAAACAGACGCGCACGCGGGAGGAGCGGAAGCCGCCATTCGGAAAGAGAACGAAAATCGATTGATGGTTGGATCGGAGTTCGACAACGTGAAGCGTCCGCGATACAAGCTAGCACGGCAATGGGATGGAATTATGGGAATGCTGCTGTTGCGCAAAATGACATGAAGATCAAGTGAAACTGTTGCGAGAGGAAAGGAGGTGAAGGGCCAGCTGCGTCATTGGCCGCTTTTGTTTGGTTGCATGGAGAGTGTCGCGCTTCCACAAGGCCTGCGAAGTGACGAAGTGGAACACTGTAACTAACGAACGGTAACCTCTCGTGAGGCTCCAATCCGAGCCTTTCGTGCACTCATCCCACAGGCCACAAAATCCCACTATTGCCACTGCCCTGCTCTTTCATTGCTCAAATATCTTCATTACCGTACCGCATCTCTCCAGAATCTCTTTTTTTCACCTCAATTCCCTAACCTTCCCGATCTCGAACAACGGCCCTCTGGTTTCCAACATGACGGTGTGGAATACAGGTTGCAAATGATAACAACCAAGCTCCGCCGTGATTCAGCTGACAATGTTTCTCCGTTCACCCCCTCAGCCTTAGTTCCGAGCTACTCTTAGTACATCATTTCTTAAGATTTTTTCTCCAGTAACCGGACTGCTGCCGAGTTTTGAGACGTCTCAGAAAGTGCTCCCGTGGCTGGACTGTTGCTCCCTAATTCGCTCGGTCTTCGGCCGATTTACACTCCAGTGTAGAATGGGGACATCTCGAGGCAGTACTTCATAGTGTTAAGAAAATGAGAAGTTTTTTTTGTTCAGACGAAAAGGGCTAGCAATTTGATTTCCGTTACCATGCCTGGACTTCGCACATTTCTCGTGAACAGTATGGTTTCGCAGCAGTCATTCTCAATGGGCCATTCCTCGCTCGTGCGACGGTCGCTTCTGCCTCTGCTGCTGCTCGCGCTGTCACTCGGCGGATTAAGAGTGTCAGGTACGAGTGCTGCTCGCCAGTGCTGCTCGCCAGTGCTTCTCAATGTGCTGCTGGGACCACCACACGTTGCTAGTCCGTGGTTGCTGTATGCCTGTGGGTAAGGGATCTGAGTGCGTGTGAGTGCCTCGCATGCATGTGATGCGAACCATATCAAGGCTCATCCTCCCCCCTCTCCTCCCTCCTCTCCTCCCCCCTCTCCTCCCTCCTCTCCTCCCCCCTCTCCTCCCCCCTCTCCTCCCTCCTCTCCTCCCCCTCTCCTCCCCCTCTCTTCCCTCCTCTCCTCCCCCCTCTCCTCCCTCCTCTCCTCCCCCTCTCCTCCCTCCTCTCCTCCCCCCTCTCCTCCCCCCTCTCCTCCCTCCTCTCCTTCCCCCTCTCCTCCCTCTCCTCCCTCATCTCCCCCTCTCAACCTCCCTCTCCCCTCTCCCTCCTCCCTCCCCAACCGCCCCACCCCACCCCTTTCCCCCGTGCAGCTTCTTCCCGGCCTATAGTGATCGGTCGCAGGGGCGCCATGGGGCCCATGCCTGAGAGCACCCTGGAGGGATACGATAGGGCGATCGCCGATGGGGCGGACTATGTGGAGTGCAACGTGATCTGGTGAGCTGCCTTTCTGGTCTTGTGCGATGGGCTTGGGGTGTGTGGCTTGACGTGCATGCTTGGTGTGTGTGGCTTGACGTGCATGCTTGGGGTGTGTGGCTTGACGTGCATGCATGGGGTGTGTGGCTTGACGTGCATGCTTGGTGTGTGTGGCTTGACGTGCATGCATGGGGTGTGTGGCTTGACGTGCAAGTCAACGCTACATGAAAGGCATACCGGACGGTGAGATCTGCAAACCCCCCTCCCCCCCCTCTCCCCCTTTGGTGACCAGCACGGCGGACTTGGAGCTGATTTGTTGGAACGACTTGGACCTGTCGCTGGTGACCAACGTGGTGCACCACCCGGAGCTGAGTCAACTCAAGTCAACGGCGGTCATCGAGGGGCAGGAGATGCAGGGCTTCTTCGCCTTCAACTTCACGCTCCAGCAGATCCAGATCCTCCGAGGTGGGCTTGGCACATAGACACCATATCAGATCCAGATCCTCCATTCCATGCACAGCAGTGGAGCAGCGATACCAGCGGCGGGACAAAGAGCATGCCGTGGCACATTAACACAACAAACACCTGCACGCACATGTCCCCCACCTTCCCCCTCCCTTGCCTGCAGAGCAGTGGAGCAGCGCTACCAGCGGGGAGACAAGACCCTGGCACAGGTGTCTTTGATGCCCGCCTATAGGCACTCCTGTGTACACGTGTCCCATTCCCCTCCCTTCCCCCCCTCCCCGCCCTCACCCTCTCCCGTCCTTTACTAGTGGCAAGACAAGGGTGCGTGATTGTGCACCAAGCTATGCACATGCCTGTTCACCCATCTCTCTCAAGCGGTCCGTTTATTGCTTGGAATCCTGAGTACAGGCTAGGCAGGTGGGGAGCGACAAGTCATGGTACGTGCATGTTGGGAGGCCCGGTCCTACTCGAGCTCCCCTAGGGGCTCGGCTATGGCAAAGCAGTCACCTGGCGCCATGTCGGCGTCAGGGGTGCCCACGGGGGTGTGGGGGGCAGGGGAGGCTTCATTTACTTTGCCCAGGTAAGCCAAGGCCTGTGCCCGCTGCAGCGTCACTGACCATCGTTGGCGAAACTGGTGGAGCAGTTTCGCTGCCTGGTAGGAACTGGGGTCCGCATTAAAGAGTCTCCTGGCCCCTGTGTCTGCTAGCAGCTTCAAAAAGGTGGGGACCTCGGCGCAGGGGCAGCCATAAGTCTCCACGGCCAGGGGGAAGAAACCGACATAAGGTGCGCGGTTACGGTAATGGTCAATCTTTTTGTCGGCTTGCTCCCGGGCCATATATCCCCGCCCCTTACGAGCGTGTGGGTCCCGGGTGCTGATGGGATCCGTGACAGTGACGTCACAGATCCAGACGGCACCCGAGTTCCTGTCGCGCATGGCTAGGTCGGCCTTATGACCGTCCACCGGACTGTAGATAGTGGTCTCCTTGGTGACGATGAACCCGGCATCCCGCGCCATACGGATGCATTCGTCGCGAAGTGCATTGTGGGTGTCTGTCCGGCCATGCCCCGTGCCGCAGCGGAAGAGGTGGTTGGGCAGCCGGGGGTCAAGTATCTCGGTCCCGTCGGCGCAGTTGCAAGTGCGTGGGGCCGGGAAAGGGAGGCCGAGACGGAAGGCGAGGGCGATGGCAAAGTGCGGAGGTTCGAGGCGGAGAGAAGGGAATATGGGGACGGCGTGGATCCAATCCCCTGCCCCGTAGCCCGCCAGAGAGAACAGGCGCTGTGTGTGGCCGGAAATGGGGTTCAGCTCCATCCCGCGGGACGCCGCCACTTGGTCCGCATATCGGGCGGCGTGGACTTCAAGGGAGAGTCGGTGCTGGAGTGGGGATCCGGATGGCTCCTCGCGTTCGGAGTGCAGGAGCTCTAGTGCATGGGTCGGCATGGCCGCCTCACACCCTGCCAGCCAGGTATGGAGATGGTTGGGGCCAGAGAAGGGGGGCGTGAGGGGGCACAGTGCGGACGCCAGGGGCCCTGCTGCTGCTGCTGGCAGGGCGGCGAGGAGGTGCTGCGCCTGGGTGACGCTGGTCAGGAAGGCTGCAGGGCCTTCAATGGCGGGGTCGGAGAGGCCTAGCCCTCCGAGCGATGGCGGAAGTGAGGCCTGGGCCCAGGTGCGCATTCGTTCGGCTTCCCCTCGAGGGAGTTGGAGTTTGCATGCGCCGAGGAGGGTGTGGAAAAGCCCCCGTCCCCACTCCGTCCACTCGGGTTGTGGGAGGAAATCCAGCGGCGTGGTGCGGGTCAGGTAGCTGACCCGCCGTGAGATGCAGCGCGTAAGGAGGAGAGAGGCCGTTTGGGGGTCCATGGTTGCGATGGTGGGGAGTGGCTCAGCCAGCGAGGCCAGCTGGGAACGGAGGAAAGCGGCTGAGCCCTCCGCTGTCCCGACAAAACTCCCCAGCACCCGCAGTCCCTCGCTGTGGAAAGGGACGTCCGGGGGAAGGGCGTCGGGTGGGGGAGGAGTTGGGGACCACGCCCCGCATTTCGAGGGGTTGTGCGTAAGGCCGATGGCCCCCATGGCGCCCGTGTGAAGTGGTGGAAGGCCGCTGCACAGGCGGCCGGTGCACCTACGAACGTCACGTCATCCGCGTAGGCTAGACAGAGGACATCTGGGTGGGCGGTGGCTGTCGATTGGAGCGCGGGGTGGATAGCTGCAGCGAAGAGCAAAGGGCCCATGGGGTCCCCTTGTCGGACGCCCCGTGCACTCCGGAGTGGAGGGCTGGCAAACCCGTCGTCGAGGTACAGAAGCGATGGGGCACCGTACGAAAAACGGATAAACGGTAACAGCGGACGTAGGGGCGAGGCGTCGATGGCGGTGATTATCGCCCCTCGCTCAACGCTGTTAAAAGCGTTTGCGAGGTCCACTTGGACAATGACGGAGCCGGGATGTACGGAGGTGAAAGCCCGAGTGGCGTGGATGACTACTTCTCCGCCGCTCCGAATTGCGACGCCGAACTGAAGGGGGAGAAAGTATTCTTGTGCGGGCTGAGTTGTCGAGATGAGGGCGGATTTGGCAGTAAGGCGGTGGAGACATTCACCTATGGCGATGGGGCGTGTTCCGCCATCAGGTTTGCGAAGGGCTAGCAGGCGTGACGCCGTTAACAGCGTGCTGACCTCCTGGGGCAGGTTACCAGCAAGGAGCAGCTGCACAATTTCGTGCAGGAGCTTGGCGACGTGCGGATTAGTGAGCGAGGCGTCTCTCAGGTGTTCGAAAGTCATCCCCGAAGGGCCGGCCCCCACTCCGTTTTCGCTTCGCGAAAGTAGGCGAGTGAAATCAACGAAGTCCAGCGTCGGCGGGGTGACGTCGTCCAGTGAGGGCCACGCAAGGGCCTCTGTCAACGGTCGCGGGTGTTTGGACTTCAGCGAGTCACGAACCTCCAGGGTTGACTCGCTGACTGGGGTTGACTGGAGTGCCTGTAGGGCGCGGCGAAGGTTGCCTCGTCGCACCAGCCCCTCGGCTCGGGAGATTTTCCCGAGGTCGTCACGAACATGGCGAGGGGGCGCAGGCAGTGTGACAGCCGCTACTGCTGACTGGTAGAGGGCATCCCACTGGCCTGCGAGGAACTGCCGCAGACGAAATTCCATCGCTGGCCAATCCGGGCGTTTGGGCGATGACATGCGAAGAGTTAGGCGGGGGAGAAAAAGTAACAACCGCCAGCCCCCGATTGAAGTTGGATTTTTCGTGAGGAAAAGAAGGGGCGTCAGCAGAGCCAGCGCGAACAGCTGGCGAATAGGGGGGGGTAATCGCCTTGAAAGAGGAGGTTGGCGGCTGTCGCACAGCACCGCGATGTCCCAGCTGGCCAGTTGGGCAAATCGTGAGGCATCGCGGGCCAGTTCCTCCGGGGATAGTTGCCTGGCTGCCTGGGAGGGACTGTCCAGCGGGCGGGCAGCTGGTGATCCCATATGTCCGTGGCCCCTGGATCCGGGTGAGGGGTTTCGAATCTCTCTCCCCACCCGCCTCGGTGCCCTTTCCCCTAGTGCGCTACTAGATTCGTCGGTGGTAGATTCCACGTGCGGTTCGTGGATATAAGTAACGTCTCTTCTTGCTTCCTCATCAGTTGCCTCCCGTAATCCCATCTCCCTTAAAGCCCGATTCGCTGCTTGCTGGAAGCCGTTCAGCGGGCCGCCGTCACGTGCCAAGTCGCCTGCCCATACGCGCTCGCTCCCGCGCCCGCCGCGACCTCGGCCCCTGGTTCTGCCCTCCCTGCCTCCGCCGCGTCCCCTCCGCGTGGCGCTGCCCCGTGGTGTGGAGCGTGGGGTAGGCGGACGATCGCCCCGCTGCCTCGCGGTGCCCGCTCTGTGGCTCATCGGCGAGTCGGATGGCCGACCGGGCTGATCGTGCTCGAAGAGAGCGCTCCGTCGGTCGCGAGAGTTCGGGGGAAAACGTCCTCCCCCGAGGTCGGTCGAGCTCCCCTCCCCTGTCGGACCGAAGGTGGGCGCGCGGGCTCCCAGTGCCGTCCACGAGCGCGCCGGCGTCCCCCAGTCGGGTGCGGGCGGCGACGCCGCCTCGGCTGGAAGGGCGGGCTGTGGTGGCGGGCGCAGGCGTCCGCCTGCATCCTCCTGCTGTAATGTCGCCGCCTGCTGTATCGCGTGCGGCGGGCCCTCGCCCCCCCCCTGTGCTGCCGTCTCGGCCCTTTCCGCAACAGCAGCGTGCACCAAACGGCCCCTCGGGGCGTGCTGGCACGCGTCGGGGGCGGAGGGGGAGCGCACTGGAGAGGCGGCTGGCGCGGACTGCCGCAACGCTGGAGGGGATACTCGAGCGGGCCGGCGCTGGGCTGCTCCCATCGCCGCTGCAGCGGGAGCCCCCCCATCAGGCCCCCCATCACACGCAGCCTCCATTTCCTCCTCGAGTCCTTCCACCGTCCCTCCCCGACCATCCTGCTCACGTTGGGGCGTCTCCCCCTCAGCTGCGGCCTGCGCCACCCCGTCCCGCGATGGCGCATGGATGGGAGCGGTCGGGCCTGCAAGTCCCGCCGCCGCCTCCGGCGGCTCCGCTCCCATCTGCGCCGGCCCCTCCGCGACAGCATTTGCCGCCTGCAGACCCGTATATTCTCCTGCACCCCGCCGCGCACCCGCCGCCCTCTCACGCTCCGGTCCTGTCCCCCCCCCGGTACTACGACCTGCACCATCGGTCCCAGCCAGCGCCCCGGATAGGCGGCCCCGCGTCATCCGCCGATACTCTCCCTGAGTGGCATCCCCCCTCGTCCTGGGCTGGGGCGGCGGAGTGGGTTGGTCCCCAGGTGGGGCTCTACCGCGGAGGGGGTGTGGTCGGTCCGTTTGTTCCCCCTCGGCGGCGGGCGCCATCCCCACGGGGTGTAGAGGCGGGGGCAGAAGCAGCGGAGACGGGGGGCGCAGAGTCACCACGGGAGGGGTCTCCCCGTCGTGTTCGCGAGGCCGGGGTGGCGACGCGAAGGAACCCGCCGACGGAGGGGCCGCCGGCGGCAGCTCCTGCGGAGATACCGGTCCCAGCCGCCACACTTCGGCCGCCGACGCGAGCCGCCACCAAGGGTAGGAGAAAGAAGAACTGAAAACTAAACAAGGGAAATGAGGCAGGGAAGGGCCTTAAATAGAGAGAAAGGGACTTAGGCTCTCTCTCTCTCTCGCTCTCTCTCTCCTCTCTCTCGCCACCAAGGGTAGGAGAAAGAAGAACTGAAAACTCATCTCTCCCATCTCTCTCCCTCTCCCAGCTCCCTTCGCTGCAGAGCAGTGGAGCAGCGCTACCAGTGGCAAGACAGGAGAGCAATATGAGGCATCTCAAGACACGTCCAAACACATGTGTCCAAACCTCTCCCCCTCCCGCCCTTCCCTCCCCTCCCTCCCGTCCCTCCCCTCCGTTGCCTGCAGAGCAGTGGAGCAGCGCTACCAGTGGCGAGACAAGACGCTGCACGGCCGCCTGCCCATCCCCACGCTCGCTGCTGTGCTCGCTCTAGTGCTCTCCGCCAACCAGAGCCCGTCACTGCTCGCCGCTAGAGGCAACCGCCCTGTGGGGCTCATCCTAGAGCCAAGAGTGAGTTGCCGTGTGAGCAAAAGGGTGCGCCTTGAGTCGTCACAAACAACCCCTCTGCCTCTGCCCATCTCCACCCTCGCTGCTGTGCTCGCCCTCGTGCTCTCCGCCAACCACAGCCCCTCGCTGCTTGCTGCCAGAGGCAACCGACCCGTGGGGTTGATGCTGGAACCAAGAGTGGGTGATGGGGAGTTGACTGGGAGGAGTGAACAGGGGGAGGAGTTAAGAGGAGTAGTTAAGTGGAAGGAGTTAAGATGAGTTGATATGAGTTAATATGAGTTAATAGCGGAGAGGAGTTGATAGGAGTTAAGAGAAAGGAGTTAAGAGGGGATGTCAGGGTTTTCTTGCTTGAAGCTACAGTGAGGGGGTGGATGCCTCAACTTGTTAATTTATGGCAAGGAGCTGGGGTGTCATGGGGCAGGCGTTGGGAGTAAGGGTGAGAGGGCAGGTCAAGTAAGTGGTGTGTTGCGCTGTTGTAAAAAAACCCTTCTGCCCCTCTTGCCCACTGCTCCTTCCCCACAGCACCCTGACTTCAACGCCACTATTGGCGGCCCTCTGCTCGAGCAGCTGCTGGACCTCCTCAGCGCCAATAGCTTGCAGCCTGCAACCTGGCGAAGCTTTCAGTCTGACTCATAAGTCCTCTCTCTCTACCATCCCCTCTCTTCCCCTGCGCTTGCAGCACTTCTGCAGCACCCCGGCTCCATGCCTCTATTGGCTGCCCTCTGCTCGAGCAGCTGCTGGACCTCCTCAGCGCCAATAGCTTGCAGCCTGCAACCTGGCGAAGCTTTCAGTCTGACTCATAAGTCCTCTCTCTCTACCATCCCCTCTCTTCCCCTGCGCTTGCAGCACTTCTGCAGCACCCCGGCTCCATGCCTCTATTGGCTGCCCTCTGCTCGAGCAGCTGCTAGACCTCCTCAGCGCCAACAACCTGCAGCCATTGCCCTGTGACTATTGTGTTGACTTACCCCCCTCGTCCCCCCCTCCCCCACCCTCCCCCTCCTCCCTCTTCCCCACTCTCCACCATCTCTTACCTTGCACCCCGTCACCCACAGCACCCCGACTTCCATGCGTCTATTGGCTGCCCTCTCCTCGAGCAGCTGCTGGAACTCCTCAGCGCCAACAACCTGCAGCCTCCGCCCCGCCCCTCCAACCCCTTCACCGCCCTCAACCCTTCCTCCAGCCTTTCTTCCTCCTCTCTCTCACTGGCTGACAGTCTAGCAAGCCTCAAGGCTGCTGCTACAGCCGGTGCTACAGCTGGTGGTGCGACAGCTGCTGCTACGGCCGGTGCTACAGCTGGGGGGCGTATCGTTCTGGATCCAGCAGTGCACCCGGTGGTAATAGAGGCGAGGAGCGCTGCTGCCCTGATCTACTGCAGCCAGCGCACCTCGATTCCCCTCGTGCAGATACTGGAGGAGGGGTGGGACGAGGTGAGGAGGGGTGGGATGAGGTGAGGAGGGGCGGGATGAGGTGAGGAGGGGCGCGATGAGGTGAGGAGGGGTGGGATGAGGTGAGGAGGGGCGGGATGAGGTGAGGAGGGGTGGGACGAGGTGAGGAGGGGCGGGATGAGGTGAGGAGGGGTGGGACGAGGTGAGGAGGGGCACGATGAGATGAGGAGGGGTGGGATGAGGTGAGTGAGAACCCATGCCCTCCACCACCCCAACTACCCCCTTAATCTCCAACCCTAACCCAGCTGAACGTATCCCCCCCTTTCCCTCCCCGTCACCCCTCCAGCCACCCACATTAACACCACCACGCCCTTTGAACCTGGGCTGGGCCGCATCCCAGCAATCTCCGTTCCCTCCCTTTCCCCGTCCCCCTCCCCCCTTTTTTTCCAGCCATCAGATACCAACCCCGTCCGTGATTTTTGAGTCGACTAAAAAATCCCCCTTTTTTCCCAGCCATCAGACACCAACCCCGTCCTGCAGGTCCCTCCCTCCTCCTGCCCACCCACCACCCCCCTGCGCGCTCCTGGTGCTGCCGGTGGAGGCGTGGCACAAGAAACTGCTCAACCAAACCGCTTTCATACTCCCTTCTCATCACCTCCTTGGCGCAAGAAGCTGCTCAACCATCCCCTTCATGCAGCTGCATGGCGCTCACTAGCACCTTATCCTCTCTCTCACACCACCTCCTTCTCTTCCTCTCCCCCCTCCCCTTCCTCCCCGTTTCCCCAGCCATCAGACACAAACCCCATTATGCAGGCCCCTCCCTCCTCCTGCCCACCCACCACCTCTCTCCGCACCTGCATTCTGGATGCTGTCGCCCTCTATGCGGTGGCAATCGCCCCGGAGAAGCGCCTGGTGCTGCCGGTGGAGGCATGGCACAAGAAGCTGCTCAACCAGACAGACCTCATGGCCTTGGCGCACCACCCCTCTCGCCAGCTTGCAGTCTTGCCCTGGACCTTTGCAAACGACTGGATCTTCCTCTCCCTCAGCTACGAGTTGGTAAGCACTCCCTCCCTCTCTCAACCTCCTACGAGCTTTGGAGTTCTCCTGTGCTGCCCTGGCAGTTTGTCAACGACTGGATGCTCCTCCCCTTAGCTTGGAGCTCATGAGTGCCCCCTCTCTCATCCAGCCAGACCCCGTCTCTCTCGCCCACCATCCGACCCGCCTGGTAGCCGTGCTGCCCTGGCCGTTCACCAACGACTGTCCCACCCTTGGTGCACGCCTCTCCCTGGGACCCGCTGAACAAATACGCTGCTGTTTTTGTGGAGGCGGTGCGAGTGGCTGGACTCTTCCATTCCGCCTTTCAGCTCTTGTCCTTCCATCCTCCCATCCATCCTCCCATCCATCCTCCCATCCATCCTCCCATCCATCCTCCCATCCATCCTCCCTTCCATCCTCCCTTCCATCCTCCCTTCCATCCTCCCTTCCATCCTCCCTTCCATCCTCCCTTCCATCCTCCCTTCCATCCTCCCTTCCATCCTCCCATCCATCCTCCCACCCATCCTCCCTTCCCTCCATCCTCCCTTCCTCCATCCTCCCTTCCCTCCATCCTCCCTTCCCTCCATCCTCCCTTCCCTCCATCCTCCCTTCCCTCCATCCTTCCATCCATCCTTCCATCCATCCCTCCATCCTTCCCTCCATCCTCCCATCCATCCCTCCCACCCCTCTCCCCAGGACCCTCTCTCAACGAGTACGCCATGGTTGTGGAGGCGGTGGGGGTGGAAGGGCGCTTTTGTTCCTCCCTGCATCCTTCCTCCCATCCCATCTCGTCCCATCCTTGCATCCCTTCTCCCCGCCCTTCATTTGTCCCAGGACCCTCTCAACGAGTACGCCATGTTTTGAGGCGCCTCAAAACTAATCTCCACCCTTCATTTGTCCCAGGACCCTCTCAACGAGTACGCCATGTTCGTTGACACAGTGGGAGTGGATGGGCTCTTCTCTGACTTCCCTGCGACGGCCCTCAAATACCTCCGTGAGTGTTTTTTCAGGGGCTCGTTCTGTTTGGTTTTCAGTGCCGCCATGAGTGGTCTGTCAGGGGCTCTTTGTGTTCTCATGCCAGCCTGGCATCTGCATCAGGAGTGCCGGACATGGCACTCTACTCCACCTCGCCTCGCTCCAACACACTCAAACACCCAGTTCCCCTCTTCCCCCCCCCCCCCCCCCCCCCCCCTAAACTCCCCCCTTCCGCCCACATTGATTCCCTCCTCAGGTTCTCGTGACTGTGTGGCACCTGCGCCAAGAGACTCAAGAGAGTGACTGTCTAGCCGCTGGTGGACATGTCCGTCTATTCCACTCTTCCCCCTCTTCCCCCACCTCACCATCAACGCCCCCAGATTCTAATGACTGCCTGGCATCTGCGCCAGGAGTGCTGAGCGCGTTTTTTGCCCCGCTGCACCCCCCTTCCTTAACACGCTGATACACCCCCTTCCCCTTCTTCCCCCTCCCTCCCCTCACTCCTCAGATTCTCGTGACTGCCTGGCATTTGCGCCTGGAGTTCTGGGCGTGTTTGTTGCGCCACCGAGGAAGCGAGGCCTGGCAGGTGAGTGGGTGGAGGGAAGATATGCGATTGGAGACATAATGCTGAGGGTTGGATTGGAGTTGAGGGTTGGAGTGGGGAGGTGGAAGGGAAAGGTGGGAGGAAGGTGGAATTGTTACTAGAGACTGCCAGGTGCTGCGAAGTTGCTCATAGCTCACGGTTCGTGCATCATCTGTGCATAATGTAGCGCACAGCAGAACACAGCAATCCACTCATGGCTGTCATATTCCTTCCACCAAACCCCCCCACGTTCCATTCCGTCCCCCATTCCCCACCCTCCTCCTGCGCATCGTCATCAGCACCGTCACAATCTTCCAGTTTTGAGGCGCCTCAAAACTAGACTTCCGTCACAATCTTCCCCCACGCTAATCCACGGCTCTGCTCTGGGCACTCTTGATGATGGTCACCGCACCGCACCACCTTCTTTCCCAACCCCACTCTCGTCCATACCGCCTGCTCTGGCAGGAGCTTCCCTTCGCACGCCAATCCCAACCTCAACCCAGCCTTCCCTGCTCGCACCATTGAATCCCAGCCTCGTTTTCTCAACCCCTATCTTGCTTCTCACGTCGCATCCCCTCCCTTTGAGAGACCTTTCCTCTTGAGCGCCATCATGGCGACCTTCGTACTACTGCAATCCTGCGTATGCCTTCCGGAACTCTCTACTCCAGCTCTGTTTTTTACACCCCCCCGTCCGCGCCCTCTCCCCAGACCTCCTTCTCCTGACTATCATTATCCTCGTTAGAGTGCAATGTTCCCCATGGCTTTCCTTCCTTAGGGTGCAACCTTCCCCATGGCGCTGGGTACTCTCTACGCCATCCTCAAGTGGCAGCAGTTGGAGCAACACCTGCATTGGCAGGAGCTTCCCTCACCCAAGCATTCCCTGCACTCTCCTTACCCGCCACCACTCCCCCAAACCACCCACACCCCCCCCCCCCCCCCACACCCTCCTTCAGACCTCCTGCTCCTCACCGCCATCATCATCATCGCCATCCTCCCCATGGCTTTGGGAACGCTCTACGCCATCCTCAAGTGGCGGCAGACGGAGCAGCACCTGCACTGGCAGGAGTTCGCCACCTTCCACTCCCACGGCCCCACCACCGCCTCCGAGAGACAACCCCTCACTGGCTCTGCTGCTGACGCTACCTTAGACCCTTTCTCTGGTGATGCTGCTGGTGCTGGTGGTGGGGGTGACACTAGCCCTTCCGCCTTATTCTCCCCGCGCCCCCTTGCCCCGCACCATCGCCCGTCCTCTCCCCCACCGTTCCCACCCGCCCTTGGAGGGGTGGATGACGGGCCAGCGTCGTCGTCCGCAGTGGCGGGCGGTGGGAGGTCTAGAGGCGGCAGGCGGATCAGGGCCATGGATTTTGGTGAGGAGGACTGGTAGCTGCGATGGTGGACGGTGGATCATCAGCATTGCCAGCAGCAGCAGCAGCAGCAGCAGCAGCATCGTCATAAGCAAGGGTGGCTGGCAGGAGGTTCAGTGGCAGCAGGAGGATCAGGGGGACGGATTTTGGAGAGGACTGATAGCCGTGATGGGAGAGGCATCGTCACCATCATCGTCATCACCAGTGGTGGGAGATCCGAACCCGAAGCTACTGGAGCCATAGGTTGATGGCAAGTGGATGCCATGTGATGCAATATTCGAATCACTCATGGATCAGTGCTTGGCTATCTGTCCTGTAAATTGCATATTGCGCTCAACTTAAGCAACGGCAACGCCACTCTTCCTACTGATATGACCACACGAGTGCCGACACAATTTTCACTGTGATTTTTTTAGTAGGACTGCATAGCATACAGTATTCTTCAAGTGGAGAATCAGCCGCTATTGATAATTGCCATCTCCCTCAGCACCTCCAGCCACCGAGCCCTCGCCGCTGCCTCCCCCCCTGCCTCCTCGCCTTTAGCCGCTTGATCCACTGCATGTTGCTCCACTGCCTGTTGCTCCACTGCCTGATGCAACAGGCGGAACCTGAGGGACATGGACATACAGAATCATGAAAGTCTACTGGAAAAGAATGGTGGTCTGATCCACTGCCCTGTGCGCACAGCTCCCTCCCCAAATCAGCTGTGGTCTGATCCACTGCCCTGTGCACACAGCTCCCTCCCCAAATCAGCTTTCTCACCTGTCCTCACTCCCTTTCCTCACCTCTCCTAACTCTCCTCACTCTCCAAACCACCGGACAGCAGGAACCACATGCCAACCACCGGACAGCAGGAACCACATGCCAACTGCCACCCCAACAGTCTTCATAGCGCGCTCAGTACCCTAAACCCCAAAACATAATCCCCTCCCTAACCTCTCCTCACTGCCCTTCCTCACTGCCCTCACTTCCCCGGGCATCAGCCAGGGCCATCCACATACCAATGATATAAGGTTGGTTTTGAGACGTCTCAAAAGCATCCACATACCAATGATATGAGGTTGGTTTTGAGACGTCTCAAAAGCATCCACATACCAATGAGATAAGGTTGGTTTTGAGAAGTCTCAAAAGCATCCACATACCAATGATATAAGATTGGTTTTGAGACGTCTCAAAAGCATCCACATACCAATGGCCACCTTATCGCTTTCCCAATCCATAAACACAGCTTTGACCAACTCTGCCGGACCATGAGTCAGAGGCACTTCCCTTCTTTCAACTGTCCTTGCCCGATCTGGTTTTCACCTCCCCTTATTGTCCCGGCTCCCCTCTCCTAATTCCCCTTTCTCACCATTCCTCACTCCCCAAGGCATCAGCCAGCGGTATCCACATGGCAATTGCTGCCTCATCGCCCCTCATAGCATCTACCATAACCCCTTCCATGCTCTTGAGTCGACTCAAAAGCAGACTCATCTCCCCTCACAGCATCTACCATAACCCTTTCCATCCCTCTCCCCCCACACCACGTCCCACATCTCCCCCACCGCTCTAGTTTTCTCTCACTACTTCTCACCTTTCCTCACTGCCAAGAGCGTCAGCCAGGGGAATCCACATGCCAATGGCTGCCTCATCGCCCCTCATGGCATCCGCCATCACCGCCTCCATCCCCTCCCCCCGCACCACCTCCCACATCTCCCCCACCACCCCAGCGGCATCCCCCCATTGGTCCAGAGAGGAGTGGGCAGCGGAGAGGAGGGAGAGGAGGGGGAGGGAGGCCACGTGGGAGGGGCCGAGGAAGGAACGGAGGGAGGGCAGGGCGGAGAGGAGGATAGGGAGGGCTTCGTTCGGGCGCTTGAGGGAGAGGAGAAGAGAGGCGAGGTCCGTTGCCGTGCCTGGGACGGGGGAGAGGGGATGGAGAAACGGGTAGGGGAGAGGAGGGGAGCGGGGATGGAAGAGAGCAAAAACAATGTTCTATTTAAGGGCACCGTCAAAACTGTTCTCTGCCCACCCCCCAGAACATCTCCTGCTTCCCCACTCAGCCCACAACACACGTCTCCCTTCCACTCATCCACAGCCTGCACCCACGGCTTTTTCCTTATCTTTGAGCGCCCACTGCAAGTGAGTGTGCCTTGAGGCGTCCCTTTTCCCCTCCCACGATTCGCATCCTCCCTTTCCCCCTCCTCCCTCCCACTTGACCATGGCCTGCAGCAAGAGTGAAAGGTGCTCTCTCCTTATACTGAGGGCCTACTGCAAGGGAGGTGGCTTATAAGTTCAACTGCCACAGGGTGCTCCCCCTCCCTCCCACTCACCCACGGCCTGCAGCAGGTGGTCGGGATGCTCCTTTCTGATGCTCAGCGCCCTCTGCAAAGGAGCCACGGCCATTTCACTCCGCCCAGTGCGCTTTAGGTGCAGTGCCACGTGGGAGAGAGCTGCTGCCGCCTCATCGCTCCGCTGATGAACTGCTGGCATGGCTGCTAGCACCTTCATCGCCCTCTTGCTCACTGCCTGGTGTGAGAAGAAGGGGGTGAAGTGGACCAAGGTGGGGAGAGTGATGCGAAGCAGCAGTGATGGAAGAGAGCAGAGAGAGCAGAGAGAGCAGAGAGAGCAGAGAGAGCAGAGAGAGCAGAGAGAGCAGAGAGAGCAGAGAGCAGAGTATCGCTCGAGAAATCAACGGCAACAGAAGCGGCAGGAGAGAGCAGAGGTGCTGTCTCCTCACTGCGCTCGTGAGGCGCTGGCACGGCTGCTAGCACCCGTGCTTAGCGTGGATGGAGGGGGCGAAGTGGAAGAAAGAATGAGAGTGTTATGAACAGGAACTGGTGGGAGAGCAGGGATTGCAGGGTGTTTTTGAGAATTCTCAAAAACACCCTGCAAAATCAAGGACTTCTGGTGGGAATCATTGGGAAAGGGGGCAAAAAGATCACGTGATATAAGGTTGGATTTGAGACGTCTCAAAATCATTGGGAAAGGGGGCAAAAAGATGAGTGAACGTGAAGGAAAGGCTGCTGCCACCAGCCACAGCATGCGTGACCGTGGCAAACTGCGGGTTTCTTTCTTTCGCACCCAGACTCTCACCTGCTTTAAGCCAGCTCAAAAGCAAACCTTCATCTCACCTAAGTTCCTCTGAGGCAGCCAGTGCACACATGTTGCCAATCCCTTGTTGCCAATCCCTTGGTTTTGTCGTCCATAAGCCCTCAATCCTCACCTGAGCCTCGTCCACAACCCCTCGTTTCTCACCTCAGCTTCCTCCGCCTGCCCTATCTGCCAGTACACGTCAGCAGCCAGCGCATGCGTCCTCGCCACGGCAGGGTGTTCCTTCCCAAGCTCCCCCTCCTGCACCGCAGCGCTCTCCCTCAACGCCTCCAGCGCCAACACCGCCATGTCCACCGCCTCCTCCCCCCTCCTTCCTCTCCCCTTCCTTCCTCTCCCCTTCTCTCCCCCGCTTCCCCTCCGCCTTCCCCTCCCTCTTCCCTGTTCATTTTCTCTTTGCTATCAACTTCCGCCTCTCCCTCCCCACTCTCCCCCCCTTGCAGGAGCCCCGAGTGAAGGATGATGTCGACAGTGGCGAGGTGCACAGAGGCGAGGTCCAGGGGGAGAGGGAGGGCGGAGGGGAGGGGAGGAGAGGAGGGAAGAGAGAAGGGCGGCTGCTGCTGACAGGTGGTGGACGGCCGGAGAGGCGTCGCCCCGACCCGCATACACTGCTGCTAGGAGTCTAGAAAAGGGGAGCCGGAGCACGGGGGAAGCATGGAAGAGGGGAAGGGGGGCTGGGAATCGGTGAAGGTAGCTTGGAGGTGCTGTTGCCCTCCAAAATAGATGCCCTGGCTGACAACACCTGCATACACGGCTGCTAGCTGACAGGGAAGGGGAGGCAAGGAGGGGCCCGAGAGGAGAGAAAGACTCACATGAGATGAAAGACTCACATGAGATGAAAGACTCCCATGAGATGAAAGACTCACATGAGATGAAAGACTCACATGAGATGAAAGACTCACATGAGATGAAAGACTCACATGAGATGAAAGACTCACATGAGATGAAAGACTCACATGAGATGAAAGACTCACATGAGATGAAAGACTCACATGAGATGAAAGACTCACATGAGATGAAAGACTCACATGAGATGAAGACTCACATGAGATGAAAGACTCACATGAGATGAAAGACTCACATGAGATGAAAGACTCACATGAGATGAAAGACTCACATGAGATGAAAGACTCACATGAGATGAAAGACTCACATGAGATGAAAGACTCACATGAGATGAAAGACTCACATGAGATGAAAGACTCACATGAGATGAAAGACTCACATGAGATGAAAGACCCACATGAGATGAAAGACCCACATGAGATGAAAGACTCACATGAGATGAAAGACTCACATGAGATGAAAGACTCACATGAGATGAAAGACCCACATGAGATGAAAGACTCACATGAGATGAAAGACTCACATGAGATGAAAGACTCACATGAGATGAAAGACCCACATGAGATGAAAGACTCACATGAGATGAAAGACTCACATGAGATGAAAGACTCACATGAGATGAAAGACTCACATGAGATGAAAGACTCACATGAGATGAAAGACTCACATGAGATGAAAGACTCACTTGAGATGGGGAGCGAGGAAAGGGGAGCGAGGGAGACGAAGACTCACATGAGATGATCTGTCTAGTCTGGATAAAAGACAAGCCAAGTCATGTAATATGCACGCAAGGTAAAATCTAGAAGATCCTGACGGCCTGGAGCGCAACCAAATAATAATCTCAACCAATCATGCAGCGCCAACTCACCGGTGGTCTGCCACCTCCTTCATAACAGCCTCCTCATATTCCCTCCTCACCTCCTCCCTCCCCCTCCCCTCCAACTCCTCCCTCACTCTCTCCCTTAACTCCTCCCCTTCCATCCCTCCTCTCTCCCCACTCTCCCCTCCCCCACCTCTCCCCTCCCCACCTCTCCCCTCCCCCCACTCCCCTCCTCCCCTCCCATCCTCTCCTCCACCTTCCTCCTGTGCGCCTCATGCAGCTGCAGGGCTCTTGTCGCCATGTCATGGGCGTCGTCTAGCTGCATGTGCCGCGCACACTCCTCCCCCACGTGCTGCAATGCGTCTGCTACTCGTGGGTCGTCTGCACCCAGTGCCTCCTCCTGCAGCTGTAGAGCGGTCCTGGAAGGGGATTCGGAAGAAGAGCGAGGAGAGGGGTTCGGAAGAGGAGAGAGGAAAGGGGTTAAGCTGGCTGAGAGCGTAGGCCTGCCATGGGCATGGTCCAACCACATGTGTCGTGTCGCACGGGCCCGCCGATGACACACGGGCCCGCCTATGACACACGGGCCCGCCTATGACACACGGGCCCGCCTATGACACACGGGCTGGGCACACTCCGCCCCTGTGTGCTGCAATGCGTCCGCTACCCGTGGGTCGCCTGCACCCAGTGCAGTGCCGCCTCCTGCAATGATAGAGCGGTCCTGGACACGAGAGGACAGGGAGCAGTTAACTGGTTGTTGGCCGCCATTCCACGACCTGCTAAGACTAGACTGAGAGGGGGTAATGCGATTGTTCTTGAGTGGATAGCACAATGCAACCGAGATGACTTTTGAGTCGACTCAACCGCATCCCATCTTGCAAGCAGATGGTCAGCAGCTCGTCTTCACCTGGTAACTGGTTTGTTGCTGAAGTTGTACCTCACCTGGTCCTCACCTGTATGCCCTCATTGCAGATTCCATGTCCCCCGTGGCACTGCTGACGTCAGCTCTGAGCATGTGCATGGCAAACCCCACCATATGAATCGCATCTGCCGCCCCTTGTGCCGCTATTGCTGCTGCTTCCTCCTCCTCTCCCCCATCAACACCCTCTTTTCTCCCATTCTCTTTTCTTCCACTCTCCAATCCTCCACTCTCCAAACCTCCACTCGCCCCTCCCCCTGGCCCCATCTCCTGTGCCCTTCCAGTCCGTTCTTGCTCCCGTGCAAGGCTCTGAAGCTTCTTGGCTGCTTCCAACGCCGCCTCACACTGTACAAGGAGCGAGAGGCACTCCTCTGGGTCGCCGAGCCTGTAGGCGCAGGGGGGGGCGGGGGGAAGAGGAAGGGGGGCGAGGGGAAGGGGGAGGGGGAGGGTGGAGGGAAGGGGGAGAGGGGAGGGGTGGTGGGGAAAGCAGGAAGGAGGGCCGGGGTTAAGAGACGAGCAGCAGTAGACGCGAACAGAGGCCCCCACAGTGCATGAGGAGAGATATACAACCCTCTGGGTGGTCCTGTAGGGAAGGAGGAGAAGCAGGGAGGTGAAAGGGGTGGGGGCACACTGCACTTGGTGATATGAGCAGGGCGAAAGAAGAAGATTGTAACCAGGAATACTGTAGACTTGCTCCTGCTGCCTACCACAACGACGCCACTATCATCACCCCTCTGTCATTCACACTTCCAGCAGCAAATCGCCAGCATGTCATCACGCCACCATGCCATCACTCCATCATGCCATCTCGCCACTTCGCCATCACATCATCACCTTGCATGGCATGCGGCCATGAGATGAAGGCACATGGCTCGCACTGGGTCCCCCTCGATGGCAACATCGTTGAACACCTGGTGGATGGGGCACACAGGGACAGGGTTCAGGGTTTGGGATTCAAAGAAACAAGAAGAAACACAACAAAGGGAACACAGCATGCAGCCACGACATGCAGGCACATGGCTTGCACCGGTTCTTGGGTGATGCGCATCAAGGGCTCAGGGTTTAAGGTTCAAAGCAACAAGAGACGAACGACAACGGAAACGATTCAAGTAACCTTTCTCACCTTCCACGCTCACTCCACCACAGGTAGCACCTCCCCCTGCTCACCTCCCACGCCTTTTCCACCACAGGTAGCACCTCCCCCGCGTCCCTGCCCTGCGCCAGGTACGCCTGCGCCAGCCGCAGCCTGAGTCCCGCCACCAGCTCGTGCCTCTCACCGTACGCCCGCCGCGCCTCCTCCACCACCCCCTCCAGCACGCCCACCGACACGTCGTCCGAACCTAAATCCGAGCCTAAATCCGAGCCAGAGTCCGAATCCGTGTCCGATCCTGCGTCTGACCCTGTCTGTGCACCATCCCTGATTGGCCGACCACCGTTGCCGCCGCTACCACCGCCGCCACTGCCGCCGTCATTGCCGCCGATCTTGGTGCTGAAGGGACGTGGGTGCTCGAGGACGAGCGGCGACAGGCGCGGGAAGGAGAGCCCAGGGAGAGGAGGTTGACGCGGTGCAGAGCGGTACAGATGGGCGGGTGATGATGACGTGGCGGGCAGCGTGACAACGCCTGGCTGTCTGACAGCCTGGCCACGGATCTCCGGCTGTGCGTCGGCGAAACGTCCTACGTGGAGATCACAACGGCTGACTGTATGACAGCTGGCGGAACATGCCGATCCAGATCGCGCGACCCTATAAGAGACATCTCGTTTGAAAAAATCGACGAATGCAGTCCTGGAAGAGATCGACGGCTCGGATCTGACCCCAACTCTGCTGCGGCTCGAACTAACGGCTCGGATCTGACCCCAACTCTGCTGCGGCTCGAACTTAACGGCTCGGATCTTATCACGAACTGGTGGCGGCCGTCGTGAGCCGATCGGTACGCTCTGTCTAACGGCCGGTGGAAGCTACCTGCCGGCCAGAAAACACCTTTTCCCGGCCCGTCGGCAGATTCTCCCGTGCGAGCGCCGTCCAATCTCCGCCAGTCGCGGCGGGCCTGATCTGGCGCTCCGGCGGGCTAGGCGGGGGGTGGCATGGCGCAGGGCGACGAGGCGCAGCAGACGAGACGAGCGCGAGTGGCGCACGCGATGCATGGGAGGAGAGGTGTGGGAGCTGGCAGCTTCGATTCGAGAAGGCTCAAACCGAAATCACTAACACCTGCGCAAGCAGCTTGCTGGTGACGTAGCAGAATGGTGCAGAACGGCGCGAAACGAGCGGAAGTGGAGGAGCGTGGAGTGCGTGGGAGCGTGGCGGGTGGGTAGGAGGATGAACCAGTTGGAATGCGACGGGACACAAGTGGACCCGCAGGCTAGGGGTAAGTGATTTATGATGACATACTGTAGGGATTAGGAGGTTTGCCTTGAGCAGTGAGCACGGGAGCGGGTGTTTGGGCCTCGGTTCATCGTTAGCACGCACCTCGGGTCTTTCGCAATTGTTGGAGGCCATCACGGGGAACGAACACGGGTTTATTCAGGGAGTGAACAAGCCCCAAACAAACCTAAATCTAGGTCCAGGGGCAAACTGAAACATCTGATTCGATACCGATTCAGTGCTGTACGATAAAATTTCTTCTAATCAAGAAGCAATACAGCTACAATCAAGTAGGCTCAACTATTAGAATGGACGACATCCTACCTTCTAGTCCTCGGTATTTTTTGGGGCATTACATTCTGCAAGGCCTGTGTTTGCAGCCAATTAAGCCTTACCTTACGCCACCACAAACCATCGGCAATTGCATATCCACTCTCCCTGATTCTTCCTCGAATGGGGTACCATCCTCGAGGCAAACTTGCATGGCATGATGACAACAAAATGACAGCAGATTCACCCTAAGGCGCAGGAGCTCCATCTCGGCAATGACAGGGCCACGCGAGCCTCAGAACTTTTGCTTCGGCAACAGGGAGTGTTCCAGTCCAGCCCTATGCACCTAGGATTGCAGATCCACTCTGTCGCGCAGCCCCAGCTCCGCAATGACGTGGCAGTACGAGTCCCAGTTCTTCCTCCTCAAATACTTGAGCAGCTTGCGCCGCCGCGCCAGCATGCCATCCAGCCCGCGCCGCGAGTGCAGGTCCTGATGGAGGGAGAGATGTTGGGGGAATGGGAAGGGAATGTGAGGGAAAGAAAGACGCACACCAGTATGAGTCCCTCTCCCAGTATGCCAGCATGCCATCGAATCCCCCGCTGTGAGCGCCGGTCCTGATGGAGGGGAGGCAGCGACAAGGGGAGGTGTGGGGCAAGCAAAACATATTACCAGTCCCACAGCAGAGCCAGAGCAGGACGAGCCCTAGTTCTTCCTCCTCCTCCTCAGGTATTTGAGCAGCTTGCGCTGCTGCGCCGGCATTTCATCGAGGCCCCGCCGTGAGTGCAGGTCCTGGAGAAGAGGAGGAGAGGTGACGAGCATTTATCCGTGGATTTTGAGGCGCCTCAAAAGTCCTGGAGAAGAGGAGGAGAGGCGATGAGCATTTATCCGCGATTTTGAGGCGCTCAAAAGTCCTGGAGAAGAGGAGAGAGGCGATGAGCATTTATCCGCGATTTTGAGGCGCCTCAAAAGTCCTGGAGAAGAGGAGAGAGGTGACGAGCATTTTGATGTGTTTTATAGATAAGGCATACTCATGAGCTCATGAGAAAAAACCCATTTATCTGCATCCATCCCGTGGCATCATGTTTGGGTTGGAGATGTGCCATGTACGCAATGCGAGAGGTGAGCACAGCAACTGTTGGTGGAGTGACAAAGTAACATCATGGGATTGTTACTCTAAAATGAGGCACAGGGTGACTTGGACTAACCTTCTTGTGTGTTTGGAGGTGCTGGGCCATGTAGGCAATGCCGAGATGTGAGCAGAGCAACTGTTGGTGTGAATCATGGGAGGAAGAGGGGGTTTGAATGCAGGAGAGATTAGGGGAGGAGATGGGGGGAATTGGGGGGGGTCGTAAAACGATTGCTTAATAAGATAATTCAAATGGCTGATGAAACAAAAACAGGGGGATAAAAATGAAAAAACAAGCTTCCCCTTGTGCACTCACTCAGCCTCTCTTTCAGTTTTCTTGCTCTCTTACTCTCTCACTCGTTCCCTCACTTACTCTGCACCACATGGTAGAACTCGTATCCTCCTCATGCACCACTTGAAAAACGATTCCCTCACTCCCTCCCTCACCCACCGCACCTGCACTGGACTGAACCCCGTCCCCCTCAAGCAATCCTCGTCACTACTTCACCCCCTCACATCTCCTATACCCGCCTCTTATCCCAAATATGTGCTCACACCCCTTCTCTCATTCCCTCACTCTCTCTGCACTCTAAACCGCTGCTTCTCTCTCCTCACTCCCTCACTTCGTCACTCATTCAGTCACACATTCTGCCACTCCTTCACTCATCATTCCCTCACTAACTTTGCAATTCACATATGACTCGAGCGCCCGAATCCCAATCATGCACTCCAACTGCTCCTTCACTCCCCTCATACATTCCCTCACTCTCCCACTCACTCCTTCATTCACTCTCACTCACCCCCTCACTCACTCTCACTACCTCAACCCACCCCTGCCTCACTCACTCTGCACTTCACTAGACCCCGTATCCCCCTCGTGCAATCTGAACCGTTCCTTCACTCCCCGCATCTCCTCAACCCGCCGCTCCTCTGCTGACATCAGCGATGGGTGCAGGTACTGGGGTGGAAGAGGGGTGGGGGTGGGGGGAAGAAGGGAAGGAGAGGGGGGAGCGAGGGGGAGGGGAAGGGGGAGGGGACGGGGAGGGAGAGGGGGAGGGGGAGGGGAGGGAGAGGGGGAAGGGGGAGGGGAGGGGGAGGGGGAGGAAGGAGAGGGAGGGGGAGGGGGGAGGGTTGGATGCTGTTACCGAGGGGAAACCGCGGGAATTGAGACCGGTGCTACTGACATCTCCTTCTGCCACCGCTGCTCTGCTGACGGCAGCGACGGGTGCAGAGCAGTGCAGGTACTGTGGGTATTGAGAGGAAGGCAGAGGGTATGGATTGCTGCTACTGGTGGGGAGGGAAGAAAGAGAGGCACTACTGACATCTTCTCCGCCGCCGCTCCTCTGCTGACATCAGGGACGGGTGCAGGTAAAGGGGGGAGGAAGGGAGGGACGGAGCCTGGGGGAAGGGGAAGGAGGGAGAGGGATGAATGCTGTTACCAAAAGGGGGGAAGGCGAAAGAGGGTGATTAAGGCCGGTGCTGACAACATCTCCTGCCGCAGTTCCCCTGGCGCAGGTACTGAGAGAAGGTCAGGAAGAGAGGATTCATGACAGCGACACTCTAGAATTCTCAAAAAACAGTTGAGGCTTTGGGAGGGTGGCTGTCTCAATCCCCTCTCTCCCCCCCACCCCCCCTTCAGTACCAGCATGCCTCCAGCCCCTTGCCCTCCCCCCATCTCCCCGCTTTTCCACTATCTCCCTCCCACAAATCCTATCGTGTTCAACAACCCTGCCCCCACCCATCCCATGATCCTCTCTCCCCCCCCCAACTCTCAACACTCTCTCCACCGGCCCCAACTCTCTCCCCCCCCCTTCCCCACACCTTGTCCAGGAGGTCCAGCTTCGGACGCCGCCACAGGCGGGCCCGCGCGGAAGTTCCGCCCATACATGCGCGGATCCCCCCCATATCCCCGCGGGTCCCGCCATACCCCCGTCCGTCCACATACATCCGCGCATCCCCCGCCCTTGCGCGTCCCCCCGCGCCTCCCCGTCCGCTCCGCTCCCCGCGTCGGATCCGCCAATAGGACCCGCGAAAGGCGGCGGAGTGAGGTCGGGCGCTGCGAACCATGATCGCAGACGAGGCAGAAGCGGTGACTGTGCGACGTTGCCTGTGATGCGATGGCATGACGAGGGGGTCGAACCTGCTGCCAGTTAAAAGAGATCGACGGTTGAGAAAAAAAACGCGACGGCAGGGAATGAAGACGCGCTGAAACGGAGAGAAACACGAGCAAGAACTACGATAAACTAGAAAGCCAACGGCGGCAGTTCGAGTCATTTCCATTTTAGTCACCTGCACCGGGATCTGCGCTAGCTGTAGATGAAGAGTAGAAGCGCGGAAGCCGGCAGCAGGGAAAGAGAATGCGCCGCGAGAAATGGCGGAACGATACCGCGTGGCAGCCATGGTTGTGACGCCAAGGCGAGAAACGAGGACAGCGCCGTAACGTTTGGAGCACTTCGTCAAACAAAAAGCAAGGTGCAAATCCAGATCCATTTACATGCGAGCCTCGGTCATAAAATTGCATACCATTTGATGTGCATATTGTCGAATTCACGCATCACATGATTTGTTGCATCCTCAATTCGGCAATTGAAACTCGGTTTGAATGTAGAAGCCAACGGGCCCTAGGGTTTGGCGCGAAGACTTGGCAACTTGGCACCACGAGCTCGCCTTGAGCGTGGTTACAAACTTTCCCTCCGACGGGATGCGAACGTCGCATTCTTCGTCAGTGACACACAGCCCAATGCGCAGTGTTTGGATTGGGAACAAGCCGTATTGCGACGGGATCTGTGGCATGCAATACACAAAACCCCAAGACGACGACCATGTCCCTCTCTGCGCAGGGTTCTCTCTACCCGAACTGCCTTGGGATTGACGAGAGATTTCAATGCTTCCTTACCGAGTGAATCAAGTGATGAGTCGGACCAGAGATAGCTAGGCGGAGCACACAAGCAAGTCACCTAGGCAGCTGTGCTCGTCACTGTTGCATACGACCCAGCTTGTACGCGTCGTTACGCACACAGATTAGCCGCAAACCGTCTCCGAAACTGCAGGTCCTCTCGCTAGCGGCCAGAAGTCTTGCGTCACTTTGCGAGATTCGCGCAACGAAATGGCGACAATCGTCCACTCAATGATCTTCGCAGACGCTGAATCACGAATGGGAACGAGCGATGGTCCTATCGGGAGAGCAAGGAGAAGCAGCAGTAACCAATGCGGCTGGAAGGGAGTAGCTTTCCTGGAAGAAGGTTGAGCTCACTTCGTTTCGTCTATCAACCATAAATCCTCCCGATTCGCACCAGCGGTGAGATCCAGTCGTTTCGTCGATGTCGGAAAACGTACATTGCGTGCACGTTTCCGTAATGGCAATTCCTGCTGGCCGCTTGTTAGCCGATCGACTCGCCTGCTGCTGCTGCTGGCTCCATGTCACGTTGCATTCCCCTGTGATTCCGGGCCGACCCTCTCTGATACCAGCCTCTGAGACGCTTAACGCTCCCTTTCTCTTCACATGGAGAGAAGGGGACTGTCAGGTGCGATGTAGCCCCTTCCTCACGCCACCTCTTCACCTACGGCGTACCTTCCTCCTTACTATCCAAGGTGCACTTTCCTCACGCTTCCTCCATCGCGCCTCGAGTGCTTAACCCTCCACTCACGCAACCCAGACAACTGAGAGTCTGTCCCCTAGCACTTCCTCTCCACCGTATGCCTCCCACCTTCACCTATAAATCCACCATTATGGTCTCCCAAGGACTCATCAGCTCTAGTCCTTGGCTCTCCTCCCTCTATCCACCCAGTAACTCTCTGCTCCAGCTTTCCGCCCTCAGGCTCCACGCCTCTCAACCCTCCTTCCTCTCCTAATCGAGCAGACATTCTCATCCGAATTCAGCCCAGGCTCCTCCGCCTCCAGCCGTGCCGCCAGACTTGCCCCCAATCCGCCTCTCTTGCAAGCCCTCATGGCTTGTGGCACTCGCGCGCTGCTGCTGGCAGCGCTGGCCATGGGCTGCTGGTTGTCTTGGTGTGTGGAGCGAGGGACATAGCCCCAAGGGAGGCAGGCAAGGCCGTGGCAGGGAAGCAGAGGAAGGGCGCTCGCATTCTGGCTGCTGAGTCATTTTCTCACCACAACACACTGCCAGACTACCTCTCCCACATCCCCCGCCGCAAGGCTCTTGCGACCAGTGAGTGCCTCTACTCTTCGCGTTCCTCTTTTACCCCCACTGGCCCATCTGCCCTCTTTAGTAGGTGCGTTGCCCCATCACCCTGTCCTCCCTCCCCCCTTGAGTAATCTAACCCCATATCCCTGCCCCCCTCCCCCCCCCCTCTGTTTATTTAGCGTGCGGGCGCACGACAGTGACGATCCACTCGCAGAACCTTGGCCGTTCGACCTGAGCAACGACATCTTCAACATGAGCTTCTACAACGGCTGCGCCTACAACGCCACCAGCCCGCTGCGCGTGGCACTATGCTCCAACTTCAACAATGTGTGGGACGGCTCCCTGGACAACCCCGCGCCCAACCCCACACAGTACCAGATGGGTCCCATCTTCGGGCAATCTTCGGGGGGATATTGTGAGATGTGGATGAACCGAGGGGCGTCTGGCAATGTGCAGATGTTTCCGGGGGAGACGGTGAACATTGTTTATGCGTGGACGTATGCTTTCCTCCCCTGTGCTCAGGAGCTGCGCTTCAGCAATGGCAACAGTTTCTCTATGACCAACAAACAACACGAGTGCGTCCCTGCTACCATCATCTAGTGGCCCCATCAACAGCCACCCATGAGTGCTCCGCTAGCATCTAGAACTCCCATGGTATTGGAGGTCTCTTTGCCGACCTCTGCTGCACTTAGCTGGCCTCTGCTGCCCAAGCTCTAGAGTTGCTTCTAAATGCTCTGAGTTTAGTGGTTGCAGCAGCAGTGCAAGGGAGGTTATAGGGGCAGTAGACTGACGGCAGAGAGGGGATGCTTGTGGTTTTTTTTTGGTCCAGCTCTTCTGTTGTTGAGGGGGGTGGGTTGGCAGGGGTAAGGGGGGAAGGAAACGGGGGGGGGAGGGGTAGGTAGGATAATGCATGGCTTGCATGTTAAGTGCATTTGTATGTTTCAGGCATGCACATTTTATAGTACGTGTATTATTATTATTTTTGCTGGTGTGGAGCGTGATGATTCGCTGATATCGTGTAATACTCTATGCGTGGATGATTCTCGTGTGTCTCTGGATCTGAAGCTCTGGCGCTACGTGTGTCTGTTCCCTGTCCCCTCAGGCTGTTTCAGCTGGCGTGGCAGGTGCGAACGGGGACAATATACAGCTGCAAAACCCTTCAGAAGGTAGGTGAGGGAGAGAGGGATGTAGAGAGAGCAAGGAGTATATAGGGGAGGTGGAGTGAGACAGGGGCTCTTTCAGTTGGCATGGCAGGTGCAAACGGGGACAATATACAGCCGCAAAACCCTTCAGAAGATAGGTGAGAGAGCGAGACAGAAGGAGGGGGAGTGGATAGGGGGATGGCGTGAGACAAGGCTGCTGCTGCTGGCGTGGCAGGTAAGAACGGGGACAAACTAGAGCTGCAAAACTCTCCAAAAGACAGGTGAGAGAGCGAGATAGAGAGAGGGGGAGTTTCCGACACCAGGTGACTGACAGGTGGGGCTGTCAACGTACAACTGATCTCCTTCCCGGCCTCGCTCCTCTCCTCCCCCCACTTCCCATCTCCGGTTTACACCACTTTTTTACGCCCCTTTTTCCAGGGAGTTTCCGCCACCAGATGTGACGGTGGGCCTGTCAACGTACAACCGATCTCTACTGGTGGGGAGTGATGGCACGGCACCTCATACATCTACTTCATCAGCGCTTCTAATTTTAAGAGTAAGTCACAGCAATTCAGTGGGGCCTGTCAGCGTACAAGTGGGGAGTGATGGCACCTCGTACATCTACGTCATCAGCGCTTCGACTTTCAAGAGTATGCCACAGTTAAAGGTCGTGCAAGCATTCCGTACCCCAGCAGTGCGGCAGTTGTTGGGCTCTGA